AGGGGACGAGAAAAAGTGTGTGATTTTATTGCCCAAAAGAAATAATTAGTTACATCAGAACACCTAGATTTAATGGTTTTAATGGTGGCCATTTAATGGTGGCCACTTTAGGGACTCCTATTTTCACCCATTCCTGCAACACTTCGCCCATTTCAGCAAAGACTGTACCCATTTCAGCAACATTACTCATTCCTGTTGAAGAATACCCAATTACGGAATCACCCCTCCCCTCTCCCCTCTCTTATTTTTCGAACATCACTCCTCAGTACGAACCACCCCCTAGTACGAAACCATTACTCGAGGCTAGACCCCCCCTTCCCCCACACACCCCTACACACCCCCACACCCCCTCCACAACACCCCCATGGAGGCAGGTGTAACTGGCCGGTTTGGGCGACCGAAAGTCTGGTCTGTGGTACAAACCTCACCTGGCGAAGCTGTTTCTCTACCGGTGATGGTATCTAAATACCGGTGATGGTATCTAAGTACCGGTGATGGTATCTAGAGGGTACTGGTGTACCAGGGACCGGCGGGGGGGGGGGGGTGTTCGTATTATGATAATTACCACAAGCGAACTCTTCCGCTAGCCCCCCCTCCCCCCCTAACTACCATTCAGACTTCGAGGTAGTAAATTCCTCGTTAATTGCACACAAGTGAAGTGTAAATATGAAGAAATATGGAGGCCCTCCACCCACCAGCGAGGCCCTAACCTGACCGCGATATTTACTGCTAACTGGTAATTAGGGATACACTTAGGGTGAGGGGGGGGGGTGATGCTCTCAGTGGGTGCTCCAACTGGTACTGAAGCGATTTGGTAGCATCACGCACTAGCGACCTAGGACTAGATTCACGAAGCAGTTACGCAAGTACTTACGAATGTGTACATCTTTCCTCAATCTTTGACGGCTGCTTTGGTTACATTTATTAAACAGTTGTTACAGCATGAAAACTTGCCAATCAAACTGTTGTTATTGTTATAAACAGGCCTCCTGGTGCTTCGGAGCTCATTAACTGTTTAATAATGTTGTAAACAAAGCCGCCAAAGATTGAGAAAAGATGTACAGGTTCGTAAGTGCTTGCGTAACTGCTTCGTGAATCTGGCTCCTGGTTGCGTCACACACTAGCCACCTGGTTGCGTCACGCACTAGCCACCTGGTTGCGTCACACACTAGCCACCTGGTTGCGTCACGCACTAGCCACAGTGGTTGCGTCACGCACTAGCCACCTGGTTGCGTCACACACTAGCGACCTGGTTGCGTCACACACTAGTCACCTGGTTGCGTCACACACTAGCCACCTGGTGCGTCCACGCACTAGCCACCTGGTTGCGTCACGCACTAGCCACCTGGTTGCGTCACGCACTAGCCACCTGGTTGCGTCACGCACTAGCGACCTGGTTGCGTCACGCACTAGCCACCTGGTTGCGTCACACACTAGCCACCTGG